CACAATCTGGGGTTTATTGCTTTACTATTTGTCAAGAATGAGGCCTGAGTTAGTTTTAGTGGAGGGTTCAGTTAAGGTTTTAGGGGTCTGGAACACGAAGGCTCCGTTTCGGCGCTACACATGAGTTTAATCAACATTTCAGGGAACCACTGAGTCTTTAGCCCGTCTCACTGAGAGGCCGCCTGCTCCGAAGCTTGGTTTTTATCAGCATGGTGTGTTTCCCATTAGCCTGCTTGTCTCTGTGGTTTGCTTTGGGCTGCACAGGTCCAGTTAAGTACAAGAGAGTTTCAATTACTGGACTAAACGTTGCCACAAATGTCTATGGAAAACAGACATCGCCACAAGTTGTCAGTTGGCACTGCCAAGGTAAGGGGAGAGAAGTGAGAGAAAATCCAAGTCAGAGGTTGTTCACAATACTTCAAGCATTTGATTTAAATCAAGAAAACATGTCTGAACCTTAAGGAGACAAAGAGCATGGCGTCATCTAAAGTGAAAACATATTTTTGCTTTCTGCCTCTGCTTTTTTGGGTGGTTGGAGGCCTTGGCAGCTTTCGTTGTTACAATAACCTTCCTCTGCATTGATGCTGTGAGTCCACGCGCCAACGTCCAGTGCTTTCCCAGAGAGGGCCTCGCTGTTTTCATCCACGCGCTTGGCACACACTGCCAGCGGCTCTGACATGACTCCGACCTGGAGAAGAATGTGGCAGACCCAGGGCCTGGCGAACTTCTTCACCCACACACTTTTCATACTGGTCGCACAGTGTCTTGACAATGAAACTCTCGAGCTTCTCAAACAATGTGCACAGGCGGTCGTCTGTTCTCCTGGCATCTCTCCGTCTTTGGGTCCCTTTATGGAAATGTTTGGCAGAGAGACCACCTCTTTGTGGCGTGCGTGCAAACCTTGTCCATAAGCACAGAGACCGGCTGTAAAGCAAAGTCAAGTGGTACATTTATACAGTCTACCCATGGAGTATACATAAGGCATAGATTGATCAAATCTGCCTTTTCTTTCATCAGCTGCAATATGAAGGTGGTTGAGAGGACAAGAAAAGGCTTTGCACCACTCAGCTTTGAGACCTATTAGCATTTGGATAAGCTTAGAAAGATCCCAGTGGCCATGCCACACACCGAGTGCCTGATCTGCCGCTGCTGTAAGCTGAACCTCAATAGTTCTGTTGAACAAAAATGGCTGCAGAGATGCCTGACCATCTTTAGCTTGACTTTCATCTTGAACGTAACTCAACAGCATTTGAGTAGGTCAACCTAAACTGCCATCTTTTCATTTGGCATCTGATTGCTTACATGAAGGGCTAAGTCTGAAATGATCAGGGGTGCACATAACTTTTTTAGTGGGCTCCTCAGGTGAGTACCAGTAGATGGTGTTTGGTACTCACCCCATATGCAGCTTTGTCTTAATAAGTGCCACCTTCCTCGCTGTCCTCCTCAGTGTCATTCCCACTATTCTCTGCTTCAGCTTCCTGCATAGATGATGCTGCAGATGTACCTCCTTGTCCTTGGTTTTATATTCCCTTTCATTATTTTGTAAAAAAAAAAAAACTATTTTGTGAAATGTAGTTATGACACCCTTCATGAGATTGTATTCGTATCTTGTTGCATTGTTCTGTTTTGTGTTGTTAATAAAGTTCTAGGGAAAAAAACTGATGGGAATGCATCTGCAGGTTAAGGTCGTTTACTTTCAGGACAAACTGAGGTTGTTGACTGGTCGGCTGCTGACATGCCTACTGGATTCATTGATTGACAGGTTGTGTTGCAGATCCGACTCGTGCAAAAAAAAAATTGCTGCTGCTGCCCGTTTGCCCTGGGTGGAGGCGGGGCAGCCCAAATGCAGTGGCGCTCTGAGTTTTAATGTTGTTAATAAAAAGTCCTTAAAAAAACAGTGCCGGCCCAGCAGCCCACACATCAGACCGGCCCATCGGGAAATATCCCGATCCTCCCGATTCTGGGATCCTGGGCGTTCATAACTTGACGGTCAAGTACGCAAAGGTGTTTAGTAACACAGGTGATGCTACACATTCCTGAGTTTTGTTGCACATGCTAGTTATGTGCAACCCTGGAAATGATCCATGTCAAATATTTAATGTCAACAATCCAATATCAGTAGACATTAAATCACTTCATGTCTAAACAGTTTTTTTTTTGCAATTGATTCGCTGTTTTTTGTTACACTTCTCACTGTTCTGACTGTGTTTTCACCTGTTAATCTATTTATTAGTATTACAGCTATTTTAGTTCGGGCTGGTATTTTTCCTTTCTGTTCACTGATGTTCCTGGATCTAATAATATTACACTGAGGGCTGTAGTTAAAGTAGACGTTCTGCACTTTGTCTATCTGTTTACAGACGTGTCAGAAAACTTCAGGAGCTGACTCTGAGTTTCTGTGTCTCCTTGTGTCTTTCTGGCTGTTTGGCTGGAGCTCAGTGGTCGACGTCTTTGACTTGTTCTCTTCGACTTTAGGACGCAGCTGTTTGTGTTACTGCTTATTAGCAGTGCACAAGAACTTGCAAAAGCAAACACATCATTTTGATTGTATTTAGATAGATAAGCAAACTTCTGAACTGTTTTCATTAGCTGTTGTTAAGAGATATAAATGATAAAATATATAACTCTTGAGCTTGAAAGTCATACAAATCGCAAATCTTGGGACAATACTTTTTCTAAAATAAATGCCTTCAGAAATAGTTCTTTTAAAAATATTTTAGATGAACCTTTAAAAATATACTAGATTCCTTGGAAAGTTTTTGCAGTTTTTTTTTTTTAAACCAAAAGGAAATTTGTATGCATGCGTGTGTGTGTGTGTGTGTGTGTGTGTGTGTGCGCGCGCGTGCGTGTGCGTGCGTGCGCGTGTGTGCGCGTGTGTGTGTGTGTGTGTGTGTGTGAGAGAGAGAGAGAGAGAGAGTCACTGGCTCCTGTTGGTCTGTGTCTAAAGACCCACAAATAAACATCAGCAATCCAGCTGGAAATAGAGAAAAGCACAAGCTTCTCTTATATGAGTTAATATAGTTCACGAGAAAAGGAACAAACACCCACGCATGCATACTATACACAGAATTGCATGTACACGTTGGCACAAACACACACTCCACCCTGCAAAGTTCCTCATCCTCCCTGCCAAGGTGTCTGTGGTGACCACTGCAGTTATTTTAGTCATTCTTACTTAAATTAGCAGCCGTGTTGCGACCCTTCACAGGTGCTGATGCTGTGTGTACACACAAGTAACATCCATACCTTTACAGTCCCATTTATCCTGACGCGGAGGTCACAGGAAAGAGGTTAATGTCTGAGCCGGCATGAAGCACAGTCTGTTTAATCATTGTGCATAAATGTGTACTTAAAGCTTTACAAATAGTTTGCTAGCGTTTAGCACACGAGGGAAAGTAGCACCAATATTTCAACAAAACTCAGATTAAAGGGTGTTTTAACTGTTACTTTCAAGTGTGTGAATACGTCGCACACTTCTGAGTATTATTTGCCTCACTTGTACATTTGGTTGGAGACATCCTCTAAGCACAAGGTCAAAGGTTTAGGCTCTACAGCAGCAGATGTGTCCATCACCAGCCATCTGTCCTGTCAAAATGTCCTTGAACAGGTCTGGACCCCTACCTGTTCACTCACTTTAAGCCAACTGAACTTAAAAATGACCGTACGTAACTCCAAGATAAGTCTTGTTTAGCACACAGAAATGAGAGCTTCACTTAATAGATTTTAGTAGGAACTTTTGACCAGACAAGCTAAATGAGACTAATTAAAAGTTTTAGTTAACGGGGTGCTCTGTTGAGCTCTGCCCTTCTGACCCCATTTTGACTTGGCTTGTTTGCTGCAACACTGACTCTAATCATTCAGAAAGATCAGCCTGTTCTCAACCATGCACCAGTTTGAGGGAAAAGCCCATGTTTCGGGCCTGCCACTTCAGCATTAGACAGATTGGTTGATATATGAGAACGAGGGTAAGATGGGGTTTATGTGGAAGGAGGGGCGGTTAAGCGGGATGGAGAGGGAGAGAAGCATCACCTGAGAAAATGATGAACAGTCTGGATGACAAATGGAGGCAGGGGTAAGAAAAATGCCTTCTCTCCAGTGGAGTCTCCTCATTCATCTGATAAAAGCTGCCACTTTTGTGATAAATGGCTTGTATCGTAAGGAAATTCATGTCTGAATGATAGAATCGGCAAGACGTTCTTACTGCTACGAGTTATTAAAGTTTGCATCTTTGGGTCCAGATGTTCCTGTTCTTGATTTAACTGATACTCTTTAACTTGGTGTAACTAAACTATGAATTTCTATTGCATGTTTTAGAGTTTACTCATCATTTCTGTCATCCTGCCACCACTGGTTTATTTATAGTTTATGCAGTAAAAATTCAGTGTTCAGTGTTTTTCCAAATAGTGTCTGATGTTTGTCATATAATGCAGCATTCTTGCGTTCATTCCTGCAGTGCAGGCCTGAAATACTATATCACACGGTCATGGAGCGATCTCCAAAACATTTGGTTTGCTTAGAGTCTGCGATAACAAACGTCACGTTAACCGCTGCAGCGCATCATGACGTGCTTCCGTCTGCTGCTTGCTAAATTACTCTGATTGTCATCTTCTCAGGTTTCCTCCTCTGCTCAGAAAAGATAACATCCCTCACTCTATCTGTCCTCGAACATCCCCCATTTCACTATCTTCCCTTCTCTAAATCCAGTTATCTCTCTGCTCTCACGACGATGATGACCGTTGGCATATCTTTTTAATCTTAGCAGTGCTGCTTGCCGTTTCCTCTTTTTTTAGACTTTGTAACACTTTGTGTTTTCTGCTCTGAATATTCAAGTCACTTTTGTATGAACTGACACTTTGGCTTATTTGTAGCTGTATTTTCACTGCATCCTTGATCATCAAATTTTTAGAGAATAAAATAAGTCTTTATTAGTAAAAAAAAAATAAAAAAAATAAGGCACATTAAAATGGTTTAAAAACAAATTTTTGTGTTTTGTCTTGAAGAATCTCCAAAAACATCCCCACTACAAAGGACATTGAGCCCCTGCTGGAGATCGATGGAGACATCCGTAGCTTTGAGGTGTTCCTCTCCTCCAGGACGCCTGTTCTTAATGCCAGAGACGTTGAGATGTTTCTGCCCTGCACTGTCAACCTGGACCCCAAACTCAGGGAGATCATAGCAGGTCTGTGCACACTCAGTATTTTCACAAACGGTTGAATTATTCTCTAGTTTGGGTATTCAAACCATGCAACGCCTGGATTCTGCAAGCCTGTGGGTTTCTGCTGCAGGGATTAACAATCTTCCTAAAAATAATCCTCGGTTTTGTGCTTTGGTGATAATGTTGCAAAGTGCTCTTTTTGTATCAAACTTCTGTTTCATTCTGGGTGCTTAGAAAATAGATTTTTAGGTAGATTTTTAAAACTTAAAAGCAGCTGCTTTATAAATTTCATCTACCAACTCTGCTGCTATTCCTGAAGCTTTAAACCACGGGTGCCCAGATCGCAAAGGTATTATGGGGAGATAGCATTGCATTAATAAAAATAGGCGTCAGCCTATCATCCATCCTCACTATTCAGCCTTTATTTATGTAGGTTAATGTATGAAACATATTTATACAGGTTAATCTATGAAACATTTATACAGGTTAAACTATGAAATTTGTCACTTCATTGACATACAGGGCAGCCAGTCTGAGGCCCTGTTTACACGACGTGAAACGTTCAGCCATTGATCTACATGACAACAGCCCTCGTTCTATCTGAAAATGAAGGTTTCTGAAGCCAGGTCTCAGAGTGGAGAAATTTGGAGGAACTCCCCATGGAGGTCTGAAATCCTCCACAAGTGTGAAGTCACGCATGTGCACTACAGGTGGCTGCAGTCCAAAGTTTTTCTGCACTAATAACAGTTGTAATAAATAGCAGAGAGCAGAGTGTTTTTGTGCTGCTCACTCTTTTTCAACATGTAGGAGCTAAACTAATAAAATCCAGGGTCCATAGAGACATTGGTGCATTCATCAGTTTCAACTGTCGTGTAGACACTGTAAGCACAATGAATGCAGCTGAGCCCTGCATCAGGGTTGCAAGATAAATTAAAAAAGTCTTATTTACCACCTCCTTTTCTGTGCACATGTTCAACAAACACAACACACACCTCACCTTAGAATAAATTTACTCAGCACATATGACAGTTTAGGTCAAAATACTATCATTTTTTTAGGCACAGTACTATAGTTCATAATCTCTTATCTGGCAACCCGACTGACATGGAAACTACAGTAGTCCCTCGTTTATCACAGGGGATCCGTACTCTGAAGCCCCGCGATCAGTGAAAAACCAAGAAGTAGGGATAGTAGTACAAGTAGTGAGTAGTATTTTATATATATATATATATATATATATATATATATATATATATATATATTTATATATAAATTTCAGATTCATTGCACACCAACTGAAATATTTCAGGTCTTTAATTGTTTTAATACTGATGATTATGGCATACAGCTCATGAAAACCCAAAAAGCCTGTCCCAAAAAATTAGCATATCATGAAAAGGTTCTCTAAACAAGCTATTAACCTAACCATCTGAATCAACGACATAACTAAACACCTGCAAAAGATTCCTGAGGCTTTTAAAAACTCCCAGCCTTGTTCATTACTCAAAACCGCAATCATGGGTAAGACTGCAGACCTGACTGCTGTCCAGAAGGCCATCATTGACACCCTCAAGCAAGAGGGTAAGACACAGAAAGAAATTGCTGAACGAATAGACTGTTCCCAGAGTGTTGTATCAAGGCACCTCAGTGGGAAGTCTGTGGGAAAAGTGTGGCAGAAAACGCTGCACAATGAGAAGAGGTGACCGGACCCTGAGGAAGATTGTGGAGAAGGGCCGATTCCAGACCTTGGGGGACCTGCGGAAGCAGTAGACTGAGTCTGGAGTAGAAACATCCAGAGCCACCGTGCACAGGCGTGTGCAGGAAATGGGCTACAGGTGCCGCATTCCCCAGGTCAAGCCACTTTTGAACCAGAAACAGCGGCAGAAGCACCTGACCTGGGCTACAGAGAAGCAGCACTGGACTGTTGCTCAGTGGTCCAAAGTACGTTTTTCGGATGAAAGCAAATTTTGCATGTCATTCGGAAATCAAGGTGCCAGAGTCTGGAGGAAGACTGGGGAGAAGGAAATGCCAAAATGCCAGAAGTCCAGTGTGAAGCATCCACAGTCAGTGATGGTCTGGGGTGCCATGTCAGCTGCTGGTGTTGGTCCACTGTGTTTTATCAAGTGCAGGGTCAATGCAGCTAGCTATCAGGAGATTTTGGAGCACTTCATGCTTCCATCTGCTGAAAAGCTTTATGGAGATGAAGATTTCATTTTTCAGCACGACCTGGCACCTGCTCACAGTGCCAAAACTACTGGTAAATGGTTTACTGACCATGGTATTACTGTTCTCAATTGGCCTGCCAACTCTCCTGACCTGAACCCCATAGAGAACCTGTGGGATATTGTGAAGAGAAAGTTGAGAGACGCACGACCCAACACTCTGGATGAGTTTAAGGCCGCTATCGAAGCATCCTGGGCCTCCATAACACCTCAGCAGTGCCACAGGCTGATTGTCTCCATGCCACGCCGCATTGAAGCAGTCATTCATGCAAAAGGATTCCCGACCAAGTATTGAGTGCATAACTGAACATGATTATTTGAAGGTTGGCGTTTTTTGTATTAAAAACACTTGTCTTTCATTGGTGGGATGAAATATGCTAATTTTTTGGGACAGGCGTTTTGGGTTTTCATGAGCTGTATGCCATAATCATCAGTATTAAAACAATTAAAGACCTGAAATATTTCAGTTGGTGTGCAATGAATCTGAAATATATTAAAGTTTCATTTTTATCATTACATTATGGAAAATAATGACCACAATATGCTAATTTTTTTAGAAGGACCTGTATGTTATTGTAGAACCTGAACATAGCTCTCTGCATTAATGGTGCCTGTCTAGACATGCAAGCTGCCCATGCCACAATCGCTCATGCAACCCCATACCATCAGTGATGCAGGCTTCTGAACGGAGCATTGATAACAACTTGGGCTATCCTTGTCCTCTCTGCTCCGGATGACATGGCGTCCCAGTGTTCCATAAAGAACTTCAAATCGTGGCTTATCTGACCACAGAACAGTCTTCCATTTTGCCACACTCCATTTTAAATGACCCCTGGCCCAGTGCAAACGTCTGAGCTTGTGGAGCTTGCTTAGAAATGGCTTCCTCTTTGCACTGTAGAGTTTCAGCTGGCAACGGCGGATGGCACAGTGGATTGTGTTCACTGACAATGCTTTCTGGAAGTATTCCTGAGCCCATTCTGTTATTTCCTTGACAGTGGCATCCCTGTTTGAGGTGCAGTGACGTTTAAGGGCCTGGAGATCACGAGCATCCAGTAGAGTTTTACGGCCTTGACCCTTACGCACAGCGATTGTTCCAGATTCTCTGAATCTTTTGATGATGTTATGCACGGTTGATGATGAAAACTTAAAAGTCTTTGCTATTTTACGCTGGGTAACACCATTCTGGTATTGCTGCAATATCTTTCTGCGCAACAATGGTGGAATTGGTGATCCTGTTACCATCTTGGCTTCTGAGAGACACTGACACTCTGAGAAGCTCTTTTTATACCCAATCATGTTGTCAATTGACCTAATTAGTGTTAATTGGTCTTACAGTTTTTCGTTATATGCTCAATTTCTTTTTTCCAGCAACTTATTGCTACTTGTCCCAACTTTTTTGGGATTTGTTGACACTGTGAAATTTTGAATCAACATATTTTTCCTTTTAAAATGTTACATTTACTCAGATTAAACTTTTGATCTGTCATCTATGTTATATTACGAATAAAATATTGACATTTGCCATCTCCACATCATGGCATTCAGTTTTTATTCACAATTTGTTTAGTGTCCCAACTTTTTTGGAATCTGATTTATATATAAATATATGCATTTTAAACCCTTTCCACACTCTTGCAATATTCTAAAAAATGTTTCTAAACTCTAAAAGCTCTAAGGTTGTTTTCACACCTGATTGTCTGGTAGACTCGGTTCGGTTGGGGAACAATATTCATGACCTTTTGTTTACATTTGAGCTGGCGCTTTTGCATTCACACTGCACTGTGCAGTCGAGCCAACCTTTTGAACCAACGTATTCCCCCGCTCGCCTGTGTGGGCGCTGCACCAAGAACTACTGAAAGAAATTACACAAAAACCTCTAAAGACACTTCTTCTTCTTCTGGAAAATGGAGTGGCATCAAGTTTTAGCAGTTTTAGGAGTTATATTTTGTCATTTTTCAAAAATGGACTCCGCATGAGCAGAAGATGAGGCAGAAGACCATGGAGAATGTTATTTTTCACACAAGGCAGCTGACGGCTCCATATCAAGTAAGAGAAATGCGTGTTTGTTTGCCCTGCGCTGTACTCCACTTCTTGCTTGTAGAGCGGGGCCCGGTCTGATTGCATTCACACTGTACTCGAACCGTGCTGGAGTTCTCTTCTACCGGACCGAGACCTAGGTTTTAGCCCGAGCCAGAGTTCACCTTTTTGTTCCGTGACAGAGTTCGATGGCACGTTCACACCTCCCCAAATGAACCGGACTTTCTAGGAAAACGAGCTAGAGTTCGATTAAAGCAGACTAAACAGGGCTGGTGTGAATGCACCCTAAAAGCCAACCTTTTGAACCAACGTATTCCCCCGCTCGCCTAAAAGAGCACAGAATGTCATGATTTCAACTCTCTGCCTCGGCTGCTCTTTGCCACCTGCAAGCGCTCTTGGCCACGCCCACTTCTCCACTCTGCACGGAGCTCAGCTGATCAGCTGCAGGAGGAAGCTTTTTCTGCAGCTGTGCTCTGCACAAAGTGCAGCAGGTGCTAAATAATTTAAAATAATTTATTTTAAATAAAAATTCCATGTGCGGCTCATCCATCAATCAGCCAATTTTGTGTCATGTCCAGTCTTATTTTGAAAAACTGCGATAGAGAGAGTCCGCGATAAACATACCGCGATGTAGCGAGGGTCTACTGTACATCGTTTTCATGTAAACCCACTCGTTTTTTGTAAACATTGAAAAAACACCAACATTTCCAGAGGTTGTTCTGTGTAAACGATGCTTTATAGTAGGTACGTAGATCACTTTGACTTGGTCATTTTAAAAGCAGCTCGCATGATGAAAAAGTGTGGGCACCCCTGCTCTAAACCATATGTTGTGTCCTTTCTTAGTTAGCATGTAAATGTGTATTTAAAAACGGTATTAAGTAGCATTTGCATTACTTATAACAAAGCATAGGGTTTAATTTAAAACAGTCTTCTCCTGGGACTCTCCTGATCCTACATTGTGCTTCTCATTTTCAAACAATTAAATGTCGAGCAGGTTTTGAATCCCACAACTGTGAAATCAAGACAATGTTCTCACTCCCAGTCACCAGTCTGCCTGCAGTGTTGCACAGAATTTCACAGTTTGTGGTTACTGTGACGAAAAATGCAGCAGTGTTCAACTTGAGGTCCAGTCCCGCGCCGTGCTTTGCAGCCGTGCGTCAGCGGCCTTTCGGCTCGTACAGGCGTGTCAATGACGCTCAGTGTGAAGCTGCTGCATCATAGCGTTGTGAGACCGCAGAAAACAATCACACACAGAGAACGTCTGTTTCGCTCAGCCAACCTTAACTCGTGGAGGGCGCAGCTGATGAAGCTCTGCAACCAGATGTCCCATTTGTAACTGCAGACTCATTCCCCAAAACTGTTTAGGTGTTTGTGGACTGTAACGTGTGTTTATTGGCGTCCTCTAAAATTTGCGTAGGGAGGGTGTTTTCAGCTCCACACATGTCCACGAGTAGCGGAAGGTGACCAATGCTCTTATTCAGTCATCTCTCTCCCTATGTGACCAGTTGGTAGTTGATGTCCAGTGTCCAGTGGGCAGTGCTGTCAGTGATACAGAACCCATGAGCCTGACTCACATCATAAGGGCCCCATTGTGTTCACAGCCTGGATTGGGTCTCACTCAGCGTGTCATTCAGCAGCCACTTGTATAACCAGGAGACATTCTGGTGCCTGCTTCTGTTTCTGGGTCCTTCACACAGAGACTCTCTGTTCTGTCTTTTGGGTTATTTCACTATAATTTGGGAGTTTTATTTTTCCTGACGCTTACTACTTAGCTCCGTCTCAAATTCAAATAGATTTATGGGAAAACAACTGTGGCAAAGTACTTACAAGATCATGTTTATGAGTTCAGCTATGTTTGTTGACATGGGTTAATTTGTTTGTTCGGGACAGCAAGAGCCTACGTGTGTGAGAGTCATCACTTGGCTGGCGTATAATTTGGAAAAACAGATTATATCAACACGCCTGCTGTTTGCAAGCAAACAAAATAATTCAAAAGTCGAAATGGGAATTGAATTCGCAGCTGAAGCTCACGTTAATATGCTCCCATTTTCTCCAAACTCCTTTGGCCTTTGACTGTCTTCTAGATAAGGACATGTTGGGAATAATGTTCTTTTTGTAATTCCCAGGACTTCTCTTCTAGCTCGCATCAACTGTTTGATCAGTATTTTTTTCTGTAGATTCATAGCTGTCTAAACCCCCATGAGATCATGAAATAAACCAAAGTTATTGATGTGTGGGTGGATCTGAAGGGTCTTTAAAGTTATGGCCAAAACACGACCATCAGAGTCACAGATGAACACTTCTACCCTCCCCTCACGACGTTGTATTCCCCCTCGGCTATGCCCTCTTTTAGATGTGCGTGCAGCCAGGGAGCAGATCAACATGGGAGGAGTGACCTATCCCACGCTGCCCCTGCAAGAGGCACTGCCCCGTCCACAAGCAGGGTACGGCCAGCACTCTGCCGTCTGCTCTCCGACGGCCTCCTTTGCCGGGTCGCTGCCTCCTCAACCCCACAGCTCCTACTTCAGTGGAATGACCGGCCCTCAGCATCCGTTCTACAACCGGGTGAGATATGAAGGGTCCTCATGTTTACCAAACCTCTACTCACTCAGATGTGCAAATAAATGTAAAAAAAAAAAAAAGATGAAGAAAGTGTTCATTTCATTTTGTCCCATGTGTGTATTCCTCATATAATTTTCTGTTTTATTGATTTATTTTACTTTGGTTCACCTCCTCTTCTTTCCACATCTGGATATGTTTTTGTTTCTCCCCTCATAGCCTTATTTCCCCCAACATGTGTATCACCTGCCACGTCATTACTCCCACCATGTCCCCCCATCCTTGCGCCCTTCTGTTAAACCACCCAGTCAACCTCAGGATACCAGTGGACTTGTAAGTAAAAAACAACAACAAAGCACTAGACTCATTTCACTCATGTCTCATCTCGTGTCATAAACAGGCAGATGCTGGGGAAGTTATCTTTTAAGCCAACAGTGTATGATTGTGTTGACTTTAGCATCGTTTACTGGTTAAGAGATAATTATTTCAGATCAAACAATTAATTAATCTATTGCACAGTCTCTCCTCTTTTTCTTTTTTTTTTACGACGCTTCCTCTTGTCTCACATATTTTGCTCAGTTCTTTTGTTTCCCTCTTCTTCATTTGGTGCTTTAGCTTTCCTATTCTCCTTTATTGTTTTGTTAATTTTATTGTCACTCTGCCTCCACTGTCACTATTCTCAACCACTCTCCAGAAAGGACAAGCGAAGAAGGTGATTTTGTGAACTGCACGGTCATGAGTTCAATCCTCATTAATCTTCCTTCTTATACCATCTTTGTTTCCATTCTGGGCCTGTGCCAGGTTGCTATTGCAGAGGATGCCAGGGAAGGTCTCCTCTCAAGCCCCTTTGAGCACACGATGGTAACCTGTCTAACATGGGCAGACACATCAGCATGTCTTCTGCACTTTGTTGCACAGTTGTGGAACTATTCTAACATTTTCTGCCTGTTGATTTACTAATTCAGTCATGCGTCGTTTTTAGTTGCATTCATAAAATGCATGTGTTTGGTAAGGTATGTGTTGAAAATGTAATGTTTAGAACCATATTGTGAAAAAAAAAAAACCTTTTCAGTAGCCCATTGGCTTTCAGATTGCATACACATGACTATGAAGACTATATCACATATAATTATAACAGTCAAAATAAAGTTTATTCCAATGTTGGCAAAGTCAAAGTTTTAATTCTCTTTCGTAGATATGGCTTCATATAGTTTCTTGCAAAGAGCTAAGTCTTTTTGGACTTCTTATGAGGCTCTTTTCTTTTTTTATCCACCAAATGGAGAAAAAAAAAAAGAATACTGTGTCCAGATATCCACACATTTCCAGAAAGAGCAGCTACTATTAGAAGAGCTTAATGATGACACAACTCAGGAGATTTCTGCTTCACAAAGCCACTTATCAGGGCTCTGCCAGCAAGCATTGAGAGAAGCTGTATGAAAGATTTAAGTAAAGATTATTGTGTAATGTTCTATTCCTCTACCTCTTATCTGTCGGGATTTTGTGTTTTTATTTTTTTTATATAAATCCTGTCCTTAATGCATCAGTGTATTAAAGTTGAGGCAACTTTTTACTCTTTTATATCTTCTTTTTCCTCTTTCCTTAGTGTCATTTTGTATGTTTTCCCACTCTTTAAGGTTCATACTTAATCTTTTTGTGCAGTTCTCATTTGTGAAAATACGTGTTTGTACACATTTGTGTGCGGCTCTTGGATATGTAAGCAGACCCACCCGAGTGTAATTACCTAGCTGATGTAAGTGTGAGTGTGGATCCCTGTGGCTGCTGGGATTATCATCAGAGCAACTGTTGGAGCTGGAAACACACACACACACACACACACACATACTGTACACTGACAATGAGTCCAAGTCTGGTGGAGCTTATCTCCATACCAAGGCGCTTCCTCCCTCACAGAGCTCTGTTTCCTCTTCCTCATCCTTCTGCACAGCCCAGAGCTCAGCCCAGCTGTAATTACAGTCTTATCACACACACACACACACACACACACACATAGATACATATATATATATATATATATATATATATATATATATATATATATATATATATATACAGAGACATTTACACTTTCACTCACATTTCTCACACATTTTCCATCAGAATCTTGCAGCCTTCCTTGAATGGAAAGTTCTACTTTTTGTTGAGTGAGCGATACTTTAATATATATATATATTTTTAACCATATCTTCCTATCTATTTGCAGTCTGTTGTCTGTTCTGACTCCAGCAAACCAAAAACCTTTTTGTTTAATAATTCTGCTTCTAATAGCCATACTTTCCCAGGCACTGTACAGAAGCTGTTTCCTCCTCTGCTCTGAGATGGAAAAATGTCTGCGCTGTTCAGTTCAACGTGTGTGCTACTGTCTTTATTTCTGTCTTCCCACCTTCTTTGTTCACAGGTACAGTCTCGGTTTCGTAACCTTCTGAGACTTTTTCTGTGGTTTTGACTGTTCGCTTCTTTTTGTCTCCTTATCAAGCATTTAAAGTCGCTGCCTTACAAATTGAAGCAGGTACACTTTTGGTTTCGTTCCTTCTTTTATCTCCACTTTCAGCCGTTTTCTTCAATCACCTATCGCTCTGTTTCATCTTCAACACGCTAACACCATCCAGCATGCTCTAGAAATAGTCGTACGCACAAAATAAGATCCCGTCACAGTCCTTAGGTTTACTAAAGTAGTTTCAGTGGAGCGAACACCCCTCACTGTAGTTAAACTCCCTGAGTGCTAGTGTTCCTCCCCTCCATTACACAAAGTTGGCACCTACTTTTGTGTACCGTGTTGAATGAGATGATGATTATTTTGTCTAACAAGCACTTGCACTCCAGCTAAGCTTGCCTTTTTTCTCCCTCAATACCAGACACAAAGCTGGGGGGCTTAGTCTGAAGCCATGTCTTAATGGTGCTAATAGCCGGGTAGAGCTGGAGGAAGAGAAGGGAAAGTAAAAAGATGTAGGAGGTCGACACAGGAGGCTGAGTGGGATAGTTTGTAAGGTAGGAAGGAGGAGAAACGAGAAGGAACGTGTGAGAAATGTGTTTGACAATAAGACAAGCAGAGGGAGAGGGGTGAGTAGATGAGGTATGGGGGTTTGTGCCAGTGGCTGGCATGCCGGCTGTGTTTTAGTCACATCAAGCCCTTTAGCCTTTCGACAGCGGCGGCTCAGATCGTCAGCTGCTCACAGACTGCAACCCGTAAGTGTTGTGCACACACTTAATGTGCTTATATATACGCTGAGGAAGTAGGATAAAAGCACGTAACTGTATTTAGACACAGGTTGGCAGCTTTGTTTACTTTACGCTCACTTTAAAACTGATAGAATTACTGTGTGGGATTGTGTTTTGTGTATCTCTCAGTAACAGGCCTGCATGTCGTTTTGCCAGGAGTTGATGCTCAATCAGCATTCATCTGTGTTTTGGGTGTAATAATGCCTGGATCTGACAGTGCGTGGGTTCGCCCTAATAATCCCTGAAAACAGTAACTATGTGTTTATGTGTGTTGTTATTGTGTAGATGTGTCCTGCGGTGCTGCTCAGCTCTCTGAGCACGGATGCAGTGTGCGAGCATCTCAGACAAATGGATGGAGTTGACCCCAACATGTTGCCTCAGTATGCAGCCAAGATCAAAAAGGTACAGACTTCCTCATTGATTTGTGTGCTCTTGAATTACTACTTAATTTAGATACAATAGTCCCTCGCTACTTTACGGTTTTTCAAAGTAAGATTGGACATGACACACAATTTGCTGATTGATGGATGAGCCACACGATTTGTATGGATTGTTCATTTAAAACAAATTATTTTTGAATAATTCAGCACCTGTTAGATCATTAGGTGCAGGGAGAAGTTCCCTCCTGCAGCCTGTCATGATCTCCGCTCTCTGCCACCTGCGGCTCTCTGCCCCGCCCACATTTCTCCTCCAGCTGCAGCAGCTTCGTGAACCCTTTGCTGTCCAGCTGCACCGATCGACTTTTGTCTTCCAACTTAAAATTTAAAATGTGTCACATCGTAAAATCTTCATAATCACAAAATATAAAAGTGTTAAAAGTTATTTATACTTAGAACTTCTATGTTCAGTTGTTACAGTGTAATTGATCAAGTCTTCACATTTCTGCTCTGTGAAGGGTTAACCCTTTGCTGTCCTGCTGCGCTTCTCTTCTCTACAATTTAAATTTAAATACTGTAATATTTTATTACAGTATTTAAATTCCCCTAAACCCCACGATAAACGAGGGACTACTGCACTATATTTTTAATACTTTGACACTTTCCTCCAGATCCTTCTCCTTTATCTTGTATTAGTTTTCCACATTAAAATATTGATTTGCATCTTGCAGGCTAACGTAAATGGTCGAGTGCTTACTCACTGCAACTTAGACGAGCTGAAGAGAGAGATGGAGATGAATTTTGGTGACTGGCAGCTCTTCCGAGGAATGGTGAGACAAAGTTCCTTTAGATGATTTGAAGTCACTTCCCAGCATGCTTTGGGTATGTTGTTGCATTGCAATAACAAAAATAACGTCTATGTCAATAAAGGTTTTTCATACTGTTCGTTTTCAGCAGCGTGCATCCTCCTCACTTTGTGATATCTTGCCGCTGCAGTTGATGCACACCTACAAAATAATGCAGTATCATGTCTCATAACAAGACGTCTTTTTCTGCTTTAAAATTTGGGATGGAGATTTTATAATCTGTATTACGAGAAGCTCCCTCGCCAGTCAGCCAGGAGTTGGGTCAGCTGAGCTTTAAGCCGAAATCACTACCACATGTAGTCGGCTCCACTTTGTCAAATGTCAGTCTGTGCTTCTAAAACTAAAGCAGGGCCCAGTACTGGATGCAGGTCCCACATTGAAGCAGCTGGAAACCACAGAGTCTTAAAGCTCCATGTAAAAAGCAGCGTTGTGTTGCCAGGATGCTGCGAGCACAGCCATCTGGTTCAACATGGCTGACCGATATCTGGATGAAGGGAGGTTATTGTCAGGGAGGAAGGACAGCTGAGAAGCTTTACTTAAAGGAACTGCTCACAACCTTGTGCTTTTGGTTTTGGTATCATGTTCTCTAAGAAAACACAACATGTTTTTTAACTTATGTCAGGACGTTTCGGTGTAATTTAGCTAACATCTCCTGTGACCAAAGTAAAATATTGTGTTTTGGAAACTTGTTTTTAAGGTGATAGAGCAACGACACGCTGAAAGCCAGGCAGTGATTCAGGATGAGTCCCGAGCTGCCAGTGAGCAAGGCAGCAGCGTCGTCCACGGGGAGCCCAGCAGACGCGCAGCAGCCCAGCATGAAACGGGGCCCTTCAGCCTCAACCTCAGCTTTGAGGAACTCAGCGGAGCGGGGCTGGAAGAGCCTCCGAGACGCAGCAACAACTCACACTGGCCGGTCAGTCCCAGTCAGAAGCTTTAACATGAAGTGTACAAAAACTTTAAATTTGTACACGTTACCGTGCAAAGAGAGGAAAAGTTTCAGCTGAATTTCAAAATGTTACTGAAAAGGTTTGAGACTGTGAAATGTGCATGTGTCCGCTGCACCAAACCAGCATGTTGGTGGCCTCACTGGTTTCATATTGGAGGCTCTAAGTGAGAAAACAGAACGGCAGAGGAAACTTGTTTGAATTTGACAGAATTAAAAATACATGCGCTATCTGCTGCACGCTCAAAAGGTGTCATGAGGCCCTCTGTTTATTTTCACCCTTCCTGTTCACAGTTTGCAAACTCTTTTAAGACACGAGCACTCTTGCATGTAGACAGCTGTATCTGCTATTATTTTAAAAGTCTCTTCTTTTAGTGATTTGCGTTTTGACTCTATTAAGCACACATTTTCATTGCTGGCAGCATGGCAGCTTAGTGGTTAGCTCTGTTGCCTCACAGCAAGAAGGTCCTGGGTTCAATCCCTGGTTTGGACCTGGGGAGTTTGCATCATCTTCATGTTTGCATTGGTTTTCTCCAGATACACCGGCGTCCTTCCACAGTCCAAAAACATGCATGTTAGGTTGCCTTCAGGTCCAGGCCTCCTTTGCAAAAGAGATCTGTGATCTCAGTGGTATTTGCCTGGTTAAATAAAAATTAATAATAATTAACAAAAATAATTTATCTGTCAACTTTTTACTTGATCTGATTCTCATGTTATGTTTTCATTGATTAAAAGTCTATTATTGCGCAGAATTCGAGTACATTTGCAGGATTTGTTGTGTCTTTTTATTACAAATTTGAATTTATTAGCCTTGAAATGTAAATGACTGAAGTAGAGGACCTTTTTTTTTCTCGTTTCAGGTGATGACTCAACACACTTCAAGCATATCCAGCCTCAACTCTCAGGAATCCTCCAATGACATCTGTAAGCTGACAGACAAGCAGCAGGCTGAGTATCGCGATGCCTACAGGGAGTACATCGCTCAGATGGCCCAGCTCGACATGTCCGGCAGTGGCGGGGAGAGACCCGTGCAGCCCCATCCCGGACAGTTCCTCCAGGTCTCCAGCTCAGAGGACAAAGGGGTGGGTGGACACTCACAAGTAAACTGTCAGCTTTTTATTACAGCATCACTAAACGTGGAGATAGTTATGTAAGTTGCTAGTAAGAAACTAGTGTTTTTAAATGTGTTGCTCTGATCTCTGCAGTTGCAAGAAGCTGGGTTTGAGCTGGGAAAATGAAGATCATTGCTTCTTGCATTTCTTAATTATTGGCTTGTACACTTTGTTTCTCTTGGCGCTACTGGGGGAGACAGGAATCCCCTCTTCAGAGGCCTCTCAGGGACCAGCAGCGCAAATTATTGTATATTTTTTTTCTGCTCTCTTCATTTAATCCTCTTCCCTTTGCTCAGGCTAAAGAAGGAACAGACCAAGATAACCGCAAACCGTTCAACAAGAGGGCCTCGAAGAGCAGCGATGCCACAGATTTCGCCCCGGGTGCTGATGCTCAGCTTCTAGACCCCATCAGTGAAGAGGATGAGAAGCTGGACCACAGCTTGTCCTCAAGAACCTCCGGCTTCAGGAAGAAAGGAGTTGGATCTTTCTACTGCAGGCTGTCCAATGAAGAAGACTCTGGCCCGGAGGAAGCAGACAACACCACACCGCTCCTTCAGAAGGAGGCTCGAGCCAGTTCTCCATCTTCACACCGAGCCTCACAGCCTGCTGGGCTGTTGACCAAGCCTGGCCTCCTCACAGAAGTCCTCCTGGATAAGAAGGACTCTTTGGACTCAGGCTCCAATGACAGCTCCCCAGATCTCACCATGGAGGATGCAGAAGGAGCCTCAGACAGACCGAAAGAAACACTGAAGCCCAGTTTGATTGAACTGGAGCTGGAGGGGTTGGTGAAGAAGAGAGGCGCCCTCCCGAGCAGACTGAGCGGCCTTCAGGACGCCGCGGTGGCCCGCATGTCCATCTGCTCCGACGTGCCGTCCGAAGCCAGCCTAATGGCCAGCAGCCCAGATGAGGAGTGGCTGTCCAACGAGGTCAGCAACCTGAACCGCACCGCCAGCAACACCACCCTCAACAACAACACAAGCAGCCCCAACAACACAAACACCAACAACAGCCATCAGCAGGACAACAGCGCAGCCACCGAGTCCACCACCCCCTTCACCAGCATCCTCATCTCGCCAGCTGTCATCATCACCCCCGGCAGCAGCGCCACCAACACCACAGCAGCCACCGTCCACCACAACCAGAACCTGCGCACCTTCAGTCTGGGAGATGAGAGGGAGAGCGTCCTCTGAAACACGTCTGTGTGTGTGTCGTCATGTGTCCGGTTGTTGATGCTGTGATCTGCTCCAAAGAATTAGTTCATGTTCATAGTTAGAAAAAAAAAAAATCACATGTAAAGCTTTAAATATCCAAAATTACATTTGGACTTTTAATGGTACCAAAAACCAAAACAGGTCAAACGTGGATTGTGTAGCATTACAACGACTTAGATGTGTGTTGTTGCTGTTGTGTGGAATTTGTGTTTCTTGAAGAAATGTTAAGTTCTCAGAGGAAAAGCTGTTGCTGTGGAAAAACTAGTTACACGTTGTTCAAATTTCAGTTTTACCTTTAGCCTCTAAACTACATCGTTGTGCCGTTTGTCCTCAAACATTTCCAATAGCTTACTGTTTAGTGGTCGCCTGAGAAGAAATGGACCCCGGAGTGTGATTTGTTGCCGAGTGCGTTTTGTGAATCATTAAACATTTCACTGCATGAACTCTTAAGTCTAATCTTTGTTTTTGGCTGTTTAATGGAAAATTAGCTGTTTGTGCAAATATTAAGTGGTTAATAAAAACAAAACTAAAATTACTTTTTTTTTTTTAATCGGTTTTGTATTTGAGCAGCTTTATGGGGAACATGTTTGCGGCAGGTCTGCTTGTGTCCGACAGATGGCGCACTCTTCATACAAACCTGCTGCAGGCGTCAAACCAAAGGAGCGTGCACATCAGTTTTTAATGCACTGCCTGAACCAGTCTTTGATAATGACAACTTTATGGATTTCTTTACACAAATAATGACCATTAGGACAGATCTGACCAACTTTAAGCACATTTTGCAGATAAGATGGCATAATTTGCAATGATGCAATTGCGTTGTGCTTTGGTGCAATGACAATAAAGCAGATTCTAAACAGGAAAAAATATAGTTCAAATGAGAAAATGAATAGCACCTCTGTTGTAGCCTCCTATAAACCTGTCATTTAAACACTTTAAACTGAATAATAAAACAAAGGACCTAATTCATGTCTCATGGAATGTATTGCTGTTTTGAGTAAACAGCTTTAAGTCCCAAGATCTAAAATGTATAGATCACTCAATTTCATGTCAAGTTTAATTCCCATGATTTCCACTCAGAAGAAACAAAATGATAGACTTGAATTTAAGTGGCTCAGACTGCCCGTTAATCCCCTAATCCCATTTACTTTACATAGCATGTGAGAAAGTGAGAGTGCAATCAGCCCGAGCACCTTTCATGAAGTTTTAATGCAACTGTTGCCTTTGGGAAATGTGTCCTTTAGTTGTAGATCAAATCCTGCACATCTGAGGACATTAAGACGTCCCTGATGTCCACACTAATTGATTTTTCGCACCACGGCCCCCCAAAATACACCCCCCTCCAAATAAAACATGTCTCAACTTGTGTTTTTTAATTTATTTTGTATAAAAAAGGTACAATTTACATTACTTTTATAAAAAGTCTCAGCATAATTAAGTACAACATTACACTTTTGCAGAAGTTTCAAATTCCTGCAACTATACAAGATAAACTCCCGGATGAGAGTTCACAAAGTTTCATTCTTTCGTTTTGTTTCTCTCTTTTTTTTTTCTTCTATTCTTTTTCCCCCTCAAACATCGTCCAGTCCTACAAGTGCCAACAATTCTGACAAGACGAGACTAACCCTTTTCTTTGTACAGGAACTAAAAATCAGGTCTGTTTCTATACAGCTTCGCAGAAAAAGCGAAGAGTTCAACATGGACATGGTGGTGGGGGGGCGGGGGGCGGGGGGTAATCCTCGGTTTTCCTCCCAATGCTGGGAACATAAACGCGCCTTCCATTTTCCAGAAAAGGACCTACAAATAAATATTAACGAGGTGTCCAAAACAGAAACACATCACATAAAAGATTGTCCCATAATAATAATAATAAAAAAAAGTTTGATTTCTGCGTCAGGAGAGAGAAAAAAAAATCCAGGCCTGGAGGGCAGAGGCTGGAGGGGTGGGTAAAGTCCTGCTCCTCAGGGCCCGTGTGTGTGTGCGCGTGGGTGTTTTTGCGTCTTGACCAAACACCTGCAAGAGATTGAGAGAAAAAGAGAAGGCGTGTTTAGAAAATGCAAACAGGGCAGAGATCCGGACAGACTGGCGCCAGAGAGGAAGCCGCAGTTTTTTAACATTTAACCAAACACTCCCAATACTGAGCAAACCCTGCGCTCCAGATGTACACACACGCGCGCGCGCGCGCGTGGATAGATGGGAACGGGGGAGGGCCACGCACGCACACACTTTTCTCACAACTTTCAGCCTCCAATCTGGGGAAGAATCAACGTAATTGCCGCTCAGCTGGCGCCTTCCCACTTCTTGTACCAATTATGTGCAGACATCGTAGTAGCAGTAATCCAAACAGCCATTATTCCCTGTTGCAGATGCTCTTCATTACAGACACAAGAGGCTATAATCTATAATCCAACCCTGGACTACTTGAATACACCGAGCCAGGAGCGCAATTCTTTGCGTTCGGTCAGATAAGCTGAGCCGCAAAGTGCGCATTTTTTCTCCCACAACAAAAACATTGGTGATCTTTACAGCGACGTCAGCAAGGGGGGACAAATGGATGGGTGAAGGAAGGAGGGGGTAATTCTAGCCCATAATTCTCCAGCAGACTGGAGACTGGCTGGGGGACAGAACGCAGCAGCAGAAGACATGAGGACTTACCGCTTTAACGATGCAGAGTCCGGCTGTCATCTGTCAGCAGCTCTGACGGCAACTCCGGGGACTGAAAACAAACGCACACACAAACAAAATGTTAAAGGCTTTGCCTCCTATCAACGTTTGTTTCTTGTAGGATTGTGAACAAAAGCGAGAGTGTGGGGGGGAGGAAAGCCATTTTCTGATCCCAACGAGCCATTTTGTGCGCCAGAGACGCGCCTCTGCGCTCAAATAGAACATTTTCATTAAAAAGCGCTCCTCGGTCTGGACGCGTGCGCGCGCTCTGTGTAATTACCTGTAATGACAAGATGCTGATGTCTGTGTTGAGGGTGGTCAGGGGGGTCCTGGATGGAGTCTGTTGCCCCGTCCGCGCGGGGTGATGCAGGCTGGTGAGCGCCACGCTGGAGTCCAGCGCGATCTGCAGGTCCAGGATGTAGTCGATGACATGCTGCAGGATTTCCATCTTGCTGACGCTCTTGTTCTGCGGGATGCTGGGCACGAGCTCCTTCAGCTTGGAGTAGCAGTCGTTCATGTTGTACAGTAGGCTGAGGGGGTCGTCCACGGGGGTCTTGCTCCGGGAGATCCCCAAGGCGGCGGAGGAGTGCTCCGTGAAATTGGCGTTGCTTTTCCGGAAGGACCGCACGGGGCTTATTGCCTTCATTGTGTCGGCTCGGTTCGGTTCGGATCTTCCTTTCTGTCGTAAAGTCCTGAATTTGTCAGACGATGAGCGATCAGACTGGATTATCGAGCTGTCAGTGCGCTTTATATAGGAAACGGCCTGCGCTTGTGACACGGGCGGCTCGAACGCGCTCATTGGGCGCAGCCAAACCGTCACTCAACGCCTTCCTCCCTTTCTATTGGCTCTCTCGGCCCAAACCCCGCCCCTTACCCAACGCGTTACCAGTGGCAACGCTTGTAGGAGGCAGGGCGCTCCGGCAGCTCCGGTGGGCAATTTGGAAAATTAAACCCTTACCTGTTTCTGATCAAGAAAATTAATGATGCGCGTTTTACGCACGCACGCACCCGCACATCCAACCACACAGTTCAGTAATATTTACTGAAGACTTAAAAGCAGAGGTGTCGACATAAATTGGGAACATCTATAAGAGTTTATTGTGGATTTAAGTGAGACGCACTCCAGGTTTGGACAGATTCTGTTGTGGGTTTTGAACTGGGCGCGTCTGATCATCCTTAATTCGCATCAGCCCGAAACCGGTGTGAACACACGTTTAATGCTGAGGGATAAAATTACAGGGGCAAAAACAAACTCGTGTGCATGTAGCGGTGTTATCTTTATAGTTGTTGGAGCAAAGAACCTCTCCAAGTGATGATGCGCAACAGAATCTGCAATTTTAAAGAGTTTTGCGCATCTTTGTTTGGATTGGCAGTTATAAAAACGGACAAATGGTAATAATGGGATTAGCCTAAAATTTATTTAGTTATTAAAAAAAACAACGTATTTGTTGGATTTGCGCGCTTCCTCACTTGGCGTTGCCATATTCCGAAAAAAAAAAAAAAAAAAAAGAATTAAAGTTAAGATGCTTTAATTTTTAGATTTTATAGAAAAAGTTGAAACTTTGTGAAATATATATATATATATATATATTTTATTAGATGACGCAAATAGAAAATTTAAGAACAGACTGGCATTTCATTGTTACACTCTGCAAACATACATGGATTTATTTTTTCTAATGGTGACTTTCAGTCCACAGACAGTTTAAATCAGAGAGATGTTTTGCGGGATGCATTTATTTGTTAAACATCCAGTAAAAACACCATCTGTGCCACTGTTTTACGCGCGCGCCTCTCCTCCCTCCGCTCCGTGTTTTTATGCATTTCCACCACGATCTGAAACTCCCGCAGTCTGTGTCCACATCTGGCGCGAGACAATATTTTCATTTTCTCCCCTTCTTCATGTCGCTCCCACAGCTGTGGACCCGTTCCCATCCCTGACTGATGCCTGACAGACGGGTGATGAATTGGCGCAAGAGCACGTCGGTGCTGATCTGAGCGGAACACCAGCAGCAGCAATCTCTCCTCCTCCTCTTTCTCTCTCTCTCTTTCTCTCTCTTTCTCTCGCTCTCGCTCGCTCCTCAGACTCTCTGGCGCCGTGACGTCAGCTCATTCACAGCAGCCCTCGAGCCAAGCCCTCGCGGCGCCGCTGAGGCGGTTTCCATGGAGACGGGGTTTCAGGGATGGGAATCTGAGGAGTTTCTCAGCTGATCCACCCGCAGGGGGTGGGCGGCCCGGCCGTGGGGGGAGGATCTAGGGAGGGGACGGGTTTGAAGGTCTCTGCCGGAATCTCTCGTGAGGTGGTGCTTTCAGGGACCAGCGGAACTTCTCAACTCAAATATTTTAACTCCAGCAGTGGCATGTAAGCCCCTATAAATTAATTATACCAAAAAAATAAATGAATAAACATAAACAACCTAGGCTGACAGTGTAATACTTTAACAACTACAATGATATTTTAGCTTTAAATTAATCACCTGCTGCCTAAGGGGGTAGTGTTTTTGCTGTGAATGTTGTGTTAGAAAAATATCTCAAATACGGATGGTTTTTAATGAAACTGCCAGTATGTAATCATGGATGTATATCTGCAAACTTTTAACATTTGGAGTCAACCCGATTCAACTTGACCACTGCAGCAATGTGATGTTAAAAAAACACAAAAATGGCTATAACTCAGTCAATGTTACACATTTTGAGATAACATTTTATGTGATGGTAGCTGAGAGTCATCAGCAACCTATAGTTTGAGCACTACCTGTTTCATATGAGATCTGTGCTTAAAACTTTACCAATAGCTGCTGGCAACTCCATCTTGTCTGTTAGCAAAATATCTCATGAACTACTGGTTGGATTTTAATGAAACTCTACTAATGTAGTCACTGAATGCACTTCTACAACTGATTAACTTTTGGTTCCAAGCCGATTGAAGATGCTGTCACAGCTAACTGAAATTAGAAAACATTCAAACGACTATACCTCAGTCAGTTTTAGAAATATTGCGCTACAATTTGGCGTGGTAGTAGCAGAGAGTGAGTCATAACACTTCCTGCAAGCAAAGCACTAACAAATCACGCAACGTTTCACAACTTTGCATGAGCTATTGTGCAGGAATTAGTTTTCAAGGTTTGAATAAATTGACTATAACTGTAATTTCTCAACGTGCAATGATTAAAACGGTGACATGAACGGCTGCGGGCGATATGCATTCCTTCTCATCAGCAACACCAGTGCAGGATTACTGAATTAGTGGTTTATTTAATTGTATTTAAAGTGTTAAATAATCTTATAACAAGGAAACTGCCTGCAAACTTTTAGCAGGAGTGATCTATATTAGATTAAAAACCTTCACAGCAAACGTTTCAGCCCTGCTGTCCTCCCTGGGGGTGCGGGGGTCCGGCCTCACCCTGTCCGGGCTCCGGGTTCTCCGTGCACGTGTTATTTTCTGCCCACCTATTAAAAACACAGCAGGGTTAAAATCCACTTCTATCACGATTCCTTTTTTTTTTTTTTTTTTTTTTTTTTTTTTGTGCTGTGGTCTGGGAGAAGCGCAGCGTCTCGCGCTCCGTCTCCTCTCCTGCGGGCTGCCACGCGCCTGTCGCGTGGAGGAGCGCTCAGTCTCCCAGCCTCGCAGCGTTGACCCCCCGGGGGGGCGGGGCTTGTTATCAGACACCCCCCTGATGCTGGATTTAAGTAAAACAGGCTTAAAGATGGAGGGAAGCAGCTGTAACAACTGCAGCAAGGTGACGTCTATCTCTTCTTCATCAGTTAAAGGAATATATTTGACAGGGCATTATTTTGAAAATAGACTATCTGTTTAACTGTTGGACAAAATAAATTCAACCAAGGTAAGATGTGATTCAGCTGGTGTTTGGACCTTGACTAAAACATCTGGTCTCTTTGTGCCTGTCCTCTCTCTGTCCTGAGGTCCAGATGGGTCTCTCTGCTCTCTGAGCAACAGCCATCAGGGCTCGGTGCTGTCACGTGAGACGCAGCAGCAGGAGCAGATCGAAGCGCTGGGAGGACGGGGGGAGATGAGGAGGCCAGATTGGACAGGGAGACAAAAGGCACCGTGGCTGCCCGAGTGCCTTCCAGGCTGGTCGTGGAGTGGCCACTCCAAGCCTCCCTGGAGGCCGGCCCTCCTCCTCCTCCCTTCAGCACACAGCTGGCTGCAGGAGGTGAGACAGGAGGAATGGAGGAGGATGCTGCAACCTGCTTCCACTGTGTGAAAGAATCAGGCAACTAGTCGATGAAAATAGTTCAAACTCCTCTTAGTTTCTGAGGTTCAGCTCACTCAGATCAGGCGGACATGTGTGACAACCAGTTGGCAATGTGGAAAAGTTGGCTGCAGCGTAACTTTAGAGCAATATTGCCCGTTGGCACGCAATCACACGTTAACATAGCTGTTTCGCCCACCTATCACTGCGGCACAGCTGTCACTGCAGCGAGTAGTCTGTGCCCCCGTAATCAGATATCTGCATATCTTCATTTGCACACAGGGAGTAGGACGGTGCGGTTTCCAGTTGGAGGACTGGGGAAATCAAATTTTGTGTGCAGAGGTGAGAGGGGTGGTGTTTGGGCGTAAATTAGAAGTTAGGATCTGTCGGAGAGCTGTATTATCAGTGTCAACACTGGGGGTTTAATGACCACTCAGTCAGTTTGTGGGATGCATCAGGTGCAGGCAGTCGTAATGGAAGGTCATTAGATCTGCAGACGTTTCAACGAGTGCCGTGATGCTCTTTAAATCCCAGGCTGCAGTTTGACAGGTTCCTCTATTCCAAGGGGAATTGAGAGTATTTTTAAGAGACCTGAAACCAGGTTCTGATACCACCGAGCCCACAGACTTCTGAGAATCGGTGTCCAACAGATGACTCTAGTTTCCAGGAGTTTCTCCGCTGGCTGTGCAGCTCGTCACTTTTCTGTCATTTTGCAACACGTTCGTTGCTTTATATAAACTTGATAACATATAAAAACAACACAAGACACGTTTCATTTTAAACTTTCGTCTCATCTCTTGGTCTGATGTTTCTGCAGCCATGACGTAATTTAGTTCCTATTTATGGTAGTTTGTGAGACAAAACTTCAAACACGATGACAATAAGTGCATTTATTTACTGCTTGAATGTGGGCTAATGATGCTATAAAGATTTAGTGAGGATTCACTCGCGATCAAGAACATTGATTCTGAAGTATGCACATCTGTTAACAAATCAATGCACATATTCCAAGGGTATTGTCCTTTTAATAATTATTTTCTACAAGATTTATAAGAGGATGAAGAAGGGGATTTTTTTCCTAAAATAGTCATGACTTAATGGAAAACTCCTTGAAACACTGTTTGTTAATGGCAGGTTTGAATGGAGGCTGATCTGCTTCACTGTTTGACTTTAATTTTTATCGTATTTTTCAAACTAAGATGCACTTAAAATCCTTTAATTTTCTCAAAAATCAACAGTGCGCCTTATGTTTTAATTCCTGTTGTGCTAATTGACTTGGAACTGATTTTATGTGGTACACAATGCTCAAAAATCTGCCAAAAATATTTTAACTTCGCTTAATGCTTTTCATTGCCTCCCTGGGAATAAAAAATTTTTTTTTTGAATTTGAATTGAATTGAAATTTATTATAACCTGGTGCGCCTTATTCATTGAACTTATAGTCCGAAAATTACGGTAAGTCCAAATTGCATTGCTTCCTATCATGCGTATTAGTGCAATATTT